ACACCGATAGTCCTGGACACCAGTCTCCATGTTAGACAACTACTCATAAGGAGTCAGCCTGGTTGGAATTCTTCCTGCCTCCTTCCCTGGCTGAGTGGAGAAGAGGCAGAAACAACTGCGTCCTTAAAACAGATGCCAGAACGCTGGGAGATCCTGCTTTGCCCCTCTCCCCCAGGGTCCACCAGTTATGACCCATCAGGGGGGGCAGGAAAGTGGAGCCTGAACTACACTCCTTTAAAGAGATTTTTATGGGTCTCACATGTCCCTGAGTGAACAAATGAAGAGGAAGAAACTGCTTTCTTCCTCCTCTCCTCCCTTCCTCTCCCTTTCCCTCTCCCTCTCCCTCTCCCGCTCCCTCTCCTTCTCCCTCTCCCTCTCCCCCTCCCTCTCCCTCTCCCTCTCCCTCTCCCTCTCCCTCTCCCTCTCCTTCTCCTTCTCCCTCTCCTCCTCCCCTCCCCCTCCCCCCTCTATCTCCTTCCCTCCCTTTCCCCCACTGTCTCTTTCTCTCCCCCTTTAGAAGATTTATTTTCTGTATCCATTCCTCTGTTGAAGGACATCTGGGTTCTTTCCAGCTTCTGGCTATTATGAATAAGGCTGCTATGAACATAGTGGGGCATGTGTCCATGTTATATGTTGGAGCATCTTCTGGGTGTATGTCCAGGAGTGATAAAGCTGGGTCCTCAGGTAATGCTATGTCCAGTTTTCTGAGGAACCACCAGACTGATTTCCAGAGTGGTTGTACCAGCTTGCAATTCCACCAACAATGGAGGAGTGTTCCTCTTTCTCTACATCCTCGCCAGCATCTGCTATCACCTGAGTTTTTGATCTTAGCCATTCTGACTGGTGTGAGGCTGGAATCTCAGGCTTGTTTTGATTTGCATTTCCCTGATGACTAAGGATGTTGAACATTTGTTTAGGTGTCTCTCAGCCATTGGTGTTTCCTCAGTTGAGAATTCTTTGTTTAGCTCTATACCCCATTTTTAAAATAGGGATATTTGGTTGTTTGCAGTCTAATTTCTTGAGTTCTTTGTATATATTGGATGTTAGCCCTCCATTGGATGTAGCATTGGTAAAGATCTTTTCCTAACCTGTTGGTTGCCATTTTGTCCTATTGACAGTGTCCTTTACCTTACAGAAGATTTTCAATTTTATGAGGTCCCATTTGTCAATTCTTGATCTTAGAGCATAAGCCACTGGTGTTCTGTTCAGGAACTTTTCCCCTGTGCCCAAGTATCACAATGGAGAATTACTCAGCTATTAAAAACAATGAATTGATGAAATTCTTAGGCAAAGGGAAGGAACTAGAAAATATCATCCTGAGTGAGGTATCCCAACCACAAAAGAACATACATGGTATGCGCTCACTGATAAGTGGTTATTAGCCCAAAAGCTTGCAATACCCAAGATACAACTCACGGACCACATTAAGCTCATGAAGAAAGAAGACCAAAGTGTGGGTGCTTTGATCCTTCTTAGAAGGAGTAACAAAATACTCATGAGAGAAAATATGGAGACAAAGTGTGGGACAGAAACTGAAGGAGGGGCCATCCAGAGACTGCTCAGGGTATCCATCCTATGTGCAGTCACCAAAGGCAGACGCTGATGTGGATGACAGGAAGTACATGCTGACAGGAGCCTGATATAGCTGTCTCCTTAGAGGTCTGCCAGAGTCTAACATATACAGAGGTGGGTGCTCACAGCTAACCATTGAACTGATCATGGGTTTTCCAATGGAGAAGGTAGAGAAAAGACTGAAAGAGCTGAAAGGGTTTCCAGCTCCATGGGGAGAGCAACAATACCAACCAACCAGAGCTCCCAAGGTCTAAACTACCAGCCTGTGAGCACACAGGGAGGGACCCATGGCTCTAGCTGTATATGTAGGGGAGGATAGCTTTGTTGGGCGTACGTGGGAGAGAAGGGCCTTGGTCCTTTGAAAGCTGGATGCCCCAGTGTGGGGGAATTTGAGGGTGGGAAGGTGGGAGTGGGTGGGTGGGGGCACATTCTCATAGAAGCAGGAGGAGGGGGGATTGGATAGGGGTTTTTTTGTTGGGGGAATGGGGAAAGGGGATAAATCTGAAATGTAAATAAAATATCTAATAAAGGAGAAATTTAAAAAAAAAAGAAGATTCATATTCTATTTCATAAACAGCTCAGGTTGGTTTCTTACACAAGATGCTTCTGATTTAGCCTCCCATGTTCTTGGATTATAGGTTCGTGCCACTAAACCATGACAAACCCTTTTCTCTCTTCTTTTCAAGACCCACTAAGTATTCCAACCAGCAGCACCTCCCTAATCTGTTACCAAACACTTTCAGACTGCCACAGATCAACAATTATCTCAGTCGATCACCAGGTGGCGCTTTAGCCTTCCATTGCATAGAAAAAGGAATTTCTTTGGAAGAGTTTGGTTCATTTCTAGTGAAATACACACACACACACACACACACACACACACACACACACACACACACACGGCAGATTTCAGAATTATTAGCCTGAATGAATAAAAGGTTTTCCTCTCTCAATTTAGTATGGTTGGGGATGCTGAAACTGGTTTTGCTTGCAATTCTTGACCAACTTTGGTGTTTCCTCAAGCAGAAGCCCTCACTGTTTTCTGATACTCTAATGGGGCACAGCATCTGGTTGGACCAGACAGGCATGTCCAACCTGCTGCTTACAGGCTAGAAGAGGCTACATAAGACTGTACCTACTTGCTTTTGGTTTTGCTTTTAGGGAATGCAGGGACTGGGGGTTAGGGAATTGAGATATTTCTAAAGTAAAACATCCAAGGGAAAGAGAAAAACAGGAAAGCAGGCAAAGGAGAAGAAGGAAGAGCCCTGATGTGCATTCAACTCTCTTATCTTTTTCAGAAACATGTGTATGTGTGTATGTATGTGTCTGCCTCTCTCTCTCTCTGCTCACACATGTGCATATGTGTTTGTCTCTCTTTCTGAGTGTGTGTGCACATGTGTGTACATAGTCCATATGCCTGCTTGTGTTCAATTATGCATGTACTTGTAGAGATTATGGACAACTTTGGGTATTATCTTTAGGAACACTATTCATTTCCTTGTGGACAGTGTGTCACTGGCTTAGAGCTCACTAATTAGGCTAGAATAAGTGCCCAGGAAATGCCTGGGATCCTTCTGTCTCCCTGTCCCTAATACTGGGATCATTTTTCTTTTAGAAATAATTACACCATTTCTCTCTTCCTATTCCTTCATCCAAACCCTCTCATATACCCCTCCTTGTTCTCTTTCAAATGCATGGCCTCTTTTATATCAATTGTTGCTATGTGCATATATAACTGTACATATATTCTTACGTATAACCCACTCAGTCCATATAATGTTACTTGTATATGTGTTAATTCTATGATCATTTGGTATTGAATAGCAAAATGGTGTCCTTAAAGACAATTTCTCAAATCCTAAGCATTCCCTAGTTGCCTGTAGCTCTTTGTGTAGGGTTGAATCCTTGTGGTCTTTCCCCTGTCCATTTTGGCATGTGTATTGTTTTCCTTGTTCAGCTCATGTTTAGGACACCCTGTTGATGATATTTTATGAGTGTAGCTTCTAACATTACTAAGAGACAGTCTCACAGGAAACTCCCTGATCCTTTGGCTCTTACAACTTTTTGCTCTCTCTTCTACAAATTTTCCTGAGGCTCAGGTGCCCAAGCTGTTTTATAGATATACCCATTGGAACTGGTATCCACAGCTCAACATTTGATTGGTTGAAGATTTTTTGTTATGGTCCCCATCTGTTGCAAAGAAACCACACTTATCTGTGTGTATAAGGATGAATATTAGAATGTAGTTGGGAATTATGATGGTTTAGTGAAGTGGTGGTTGTAGGTTCTCCTCCAAGATTCATGACCTCACTAGCTTTGGATAGTTGATTAGGATTCCTGCATCAGGCACGGTTTCCCTCTTGTTGAGTGGACCTTAAGTCTAAGTAGAGAGCTGCTGGTTACCAAGGTATACATGCCATGACTGTACTGTTAGGATTATCATGCCATGCTGGCTATTGTTGTGGTTCAAAATGCTTGACATTCATATGGGGGTTCTGAGAATCAAGCTCAGGTCCTTGTACTTAAAAGGCAGGTATTTTATCAACAAAGCCAGCCTCCAGCCCCCAGCCCCCTGATATAATCTTTTGTGAAATTCTGCACCCAGTTCAGGCAGGTGTCTCCGTAAGCACTCTGAAAAGAGCTAAGGGTGGGTTTGTAGAGCATCCATTTGCTTTATTTAGGCCTCTAGAATGAAAGTGTCAGTACAAAGTAGGCTTATGGTTCAATTAAATTGCCAGGAAAGAAATTATCTGTCTGTTTCTCTCTAAATCTCCATTGACTTTCTGTTCTCATTCTTAAAATCCTTGTAAGGAGGGAAGTGTGAAGTACTAGATGCAGCTGGGCTTTATAGAAGGTTACAGGTGAATCAAGTCTCCTTAAAGATGAGTTGGACCATATAAAACAGTTTCAAGACCATCCAGTATCTTTACAAATAATCCTTCACACCTGTAAATACAAATATGTTCTCTCAATAAAAATGTTATTGACATTGACATAATACTTTAAAGTAGCAACTTTGTATTAATATCAAGTTAAAAACCTGAAATAATCTTTTTTTTTTCTGTCAGAAAACAAGATTGTGGTTACTCTTGAGTAGGTATGGGTAATACCTGGACACAGGGTCATGAGGAGGAGGCCTTTGGGGTTTGGTTGGGTTTTGTTGGTCACATGGGTGATACATTTATGAAAATCCATTCACATTTGAGCTATGTGTTTGTGATCTGCCTATTTTGGGGGTATCTGATGCTTAAAGAATGTGTGTGCAGGTTAAAATGAAATGTCTTTCCAATGCTTGCTCCACCTGTGGGTCACAGAACTCCTGCCCAGTGGGATAAATGTACTGAGCTCTGCAAATTGGAGATGAGAATGTGACAGCTCCCAGGGCAGACTGCCCAGCATGATGCCTGTCTCTTGCAGGGCTGGCTTACCTGCCACCTTGGAGTTGTATGCTACGCCGACTCCACAGATATTGTTGCTGGCTGCAGCAGAAACTTCTCCTGCACACCTAGTTCCATGGCTGTGGGGAAAATAGAGACATGTCAAATACATGGTCAAAAGCATTTATAGGGGATTTCTTCAATCCTGTCTGCTGGGAGCAACTTAGTCTTTAAAGATTAAGCTGTACTTGAGGCCCCACCCCATGGCCCATCCAATTATCTGTCTGTCAACACCCAAATTCCCTTCTGTCCTCCCCTTTCTCCAGTTGCCTTCCAAACCCTGGGTTGTGTCTATTATAAAGAGGTTTTTGAGAATACTTTTAACTGCAACCATTGGTCTTTACTTTAAAATTTGGAGCATCTTCCAGTGGAAAACATAGGTTTTCTTAAAAAACACACTATAAAATAGGTGTGTGCTGGCCTGTGGCTGACCAGCTTGATTTTTTTGGAAGCACTAGGATCTGTGGGTGGGTAGTTACTTCCAAGGGTGTCTCAGCATCGAGGAGTGAGATGTTGCCTCAACAGTGGAGTGATGGTCACTCATTCATTGAACTAGGTTTCCACTTTGACACAGAAATAAGAAATCACATTCTGGCAGTATTGTGGAAAAGAAGAAGTTAAAGGACTCCCCGTTTCCAGGTGATTTGACTCTAGACATAAAGGCCCTAAAGATGCCACCAGAAAATTCTGAACCAATAACCAGAAGTCCAGCAAAGTAACAGGATACAAAATTAGCATACAGAATCCAATAGCTTTTTTAGACATCAATGATAAACACACTAAGACAGAAAATAGAAAAACAATCCTAATAGCCCAATAATAGCCAAAACAATAAGAGCAACAAGAACATCAACAACAAAAACATGAACAACAAGAACAAGAACAACATGAACAAGAACAATAAGAATAAATGACAACAAAACAAATTAACCTAATCAATCTGAATTAACCTAACCAAGAAAGTGAGAATATTGAATATATTGGAAACTTTCTAAGTCTGAAGAAATAACATCTTATTGTCAAGTTCTGGGTAATAACTAATAGGACTGGCAATAGCCTGTAATCTTTTTTTCGGGGAGGAGGTAATGTAATCCTATTGGCCAACAACTCAAAACGAGGTAGCTCATTCCTTACTGAGGTTTTATTTGATATCATATGGCATCTAGTCAGTGTATTGTACTTCTATTATAGAGTAAATGCCATTTAAACTTTTTATGCATACATATTGAAAGCTTCTAAAATAGTATATTTCCATATGGGTTTTCAAAAGGCCTCTTTAATATTAGTTATCACTCCCCAAATCCTCTACCCTGCCTTCCCATTCCCCATTCCTTTTAATCCTTCCTGTTCCATTTTTCACTTCCATCCTTTAAAAACACTATCATCTATATACTGGAGTAATAGAATATGTAGAAATCTGGGTAATAATCAGCTGAAAGCTTTATTCATACTGTCTAGCTTTATAGTTCAGGAAGGTGCTACACATGCCACCAGAGGAGAAAAGAAATCAACAGATTTGACTCAGTTGTGAACCCTGAAAACCATAATAGTGAGTTGCCTGGCAAGATATGCCCACTGTTGGCAATAATGGCATGAATGTCATGGGGTAACCAACCATTTTTGAATGGATTTAAGTCCTGCTCCATGAGATAAAGTCCATTGGTCATAGGAAAATAGTAGTAGCGAAAAACCTACTGTTTTTGGTATTTTGAATGAGAATGGCTCATGTATACTTGGTTCCAGGTTGATTGGACTGTTTGGGAAGGATTAGGAGGGGTGGACTTGTTGTAGGTTGTGTGTCACTGTGGCTGGGCTTTGAGGTTTCAAAAGCCCAACTATTCTCAGTTCTCTGTCTCTCTCTTTCTCTCTCTCTCTCTCTTCCTCTCTCTCTCTCTCTCTCTCTCTCTCTCTGCCTCTGTCTACCTCTTGCTTGTGGATTAGATATAAGCTCTCAACTACTGTCCCAGCACTGTGCCTACCTGCTTGCTTCCACGCTCTCAACCATGATAGTCATGAAATCACCCTCTGAACTGTAAGCCCCAATAAAAATTTTCTTCTATAAGTTGCCTTGGTCTTATCACAGTAATAGAAAGGTCATTGAGACACTATTACTCTGATAAATGGACATAGCAATATAGTAATTTCTAATGACCTATTGCTATACTCATAGAACAAAGCATCATTCAACTCTCACCAGAGAAACTGTAGATGGCAATTTGCATTGGATCCACAATTGGCCAATGTGAAGAAGTGATTATGAGATGTATATATCATAGCTCTCCCCTCAACACTCAGTGGTCCATGTGAAAGGGGGTGTGGAAAGACAGTAGGGGCCAGAGGTGGTGGATGACTTAAGAAAGCAGTGCTTCCTAGACATGATAGCACAAGTACATGTATGAACTCACAGTGATTGTGATAGCTAGATCAAGCAAGAGAACAATTTCAGTATGGAGTGAGGGGGAGGAAGTCAGGAAGTTCCAACCCTAGCTGAGGAGCTATTGGCAATTGATGACTGATAGAAGAGAGAAAGTCCATTTTCTTCAAGAATGCAGTTACATGCTCTAGGAGGTGGCCTATATCCATGCACATACTTGCAACCCTGAGTGGACTCAGTGTGTTGTCAACAAGAACAGCAACAACCTCTTCCTCCTCCTTCTCCTCTTCCTCATGGCATTGAGACTGAATAGTGACAGGGGAGGTGGGGAGGAATTGGAGTACAGGGATTTTGTATACTGTATACATGTACAAGATTCTCAAATAATGAAAAATAAGAATTCATTAACATTAGCAATCAGGGAAATGCAGTTTAAAACAACTTTGAGATTTCATCTCATCTCTGTCAGAATGGCAATCATCAGGAAATCAAATGATAACAAATGCTGGTGAGGCTGTTGGGGAACGATAATCCTTATTGACTTTTAGTGGTAGTACAAACTGGTATGGTCACTGTGGAAAAACAGTATGAAGAGTCCTTAAAAAGTTGTGAATAGAACTATCATATGACTGAGCAAGTCAGCTACTGGGCATCTACCCAAAGGACTGTACATACATACACTTAGTTGTTCATGTTTGCTGTTGCTTAATTCATAGTAGCCAGGAAATGAGATCAGCTCATATGTCCATCAACTGATAGATGGAGATAAAAATGCGGTATATACTATAGAATTTTATTAAGCTGTGAATAAAAATAAAATTATGAAAATTTCAGGTACTGGATGAAACTGGAAACAATTGTGTTGATTGAGTTACTCAGACACAGAAAAACAAACACCACATGTGGACCTTAGCTTCTAATTTTGTGTGTTTAACTTGGAGTGCCCTTAGAAATCAGAACATTAGAAGGAGGCTACTGAGAGGGGCTGCCGGAAGGGAGAGGTCAGGGAATATAAAATTAGTAATATAAAAGTAGAGAGGGGTAGGAGGTTTAAAGGCTTAGAGGACAGAGACCCGAGGATGGAAGGTAACTAAAATGAAGGTGATATGAAAAAGATATAAACCATTACTCTCTTGTAACTAAATTTAGAAAATGTGTTTTACATTTAAAAAAAGTTTAAAGAGAGACACCTTTCATGGCTGGAAGAAATGTTCCTAGAAGCCATCGGCTGTTAAACAAAATCTTCTATGGCAGGAGTCAGAGAACTCCTTTGGAGTTGATGGTAATGGAGAGTTCAAAGGTCATTGCCCTCACAGTCTAGACTCTTGAGACTTCTCTTAGTTGCTCAGAATTAGATGATAAGACCTTATTGCTGAAGACTCTGTGCACTGTGGCTACTTGATATAAATAAATAAAGCTGGAACTGAGCTGGACGCTTTCTCTATGCTGGTGTTCACAGACCTGAAAGGCGTTATGCAGGAGAGAAGGAGGAGAAAAGGCATCAGTGGTCTTATCTTCCTAGGAATCTTGTGATCTATGAGACCAACTCACCATGCACAATGTGCTCACTTGTGCAATAATGGCATTACTGTCATGGGTGTAACCAATTATCCTCTGATTGGATTTGAGGCCCTGTGGTCAGGAACTCTATGCTGGTACGAGAAGCCTGGCCCTAAACCCATGCTGGAGGAGATCATAGGCCCTGAGGATAATAATGCAGAGATGAATATTATTGTTTAGCTAGACTGACATTGTATCAAACTGCTTTCTAAATATTTGCTTCTAGCTACAGACATCTTCTATTCTTGGCATTAATCAGAGAAACTCCTTTTCAGTGAATGGTGTTTAATGTGGAGACTCATGACTGTACAAGGTGATGAGAGTAAATGAGGGTCGCCAAACAAGACATTTACATCATCCCCTCTAAAGCACAGGGAAGATGGCAGAAGAGGACTAGAAATAAGGTAAGAGATGGGGACAAGGGCTATAAAATGCCATCTTCAGGACAAGACACAGCCCTTGAAATTATGAATTCATAGAGCAACTAGGGATGCCTGCACTAGGCTTATCAATAGCTTTACACAGACTGAAGAGAAGCTCTACCCTTTTCTGCTGAACTATTTGTAAAGGATAGATTCTGGAAGGGGAGGCATCATTGCTTTTATCTGTGCACCCACTGGTGGTCCCACTAAGTGTCATTGGGTAGTTCCAATCCAATGGTCATACAAATGGCCCAGGGTCACCAAACAAAATCAAAAGCCATGAATTTGGTAAAGGGACAGTAAAGGGGGAGTTGTTGAATAGAAATCAGAGGGAGATAAGAGAAGATGTGGGGAAAGAGTAATCAGAATATATCATATATGTGTATGGAATTATCAAAAAAATCAATCAAAATATATTTAAAGAATATGATGATACACAATGTTTAATAATCAAATCAGAGAATGAATGCGTCTCTCTCCTTAAACACTTATTTCTTTGTGTTGGGAAACTTCGAAGTCTTATCTTCCAGTTCTTTACAAAATATATAACACATTGTTGTGGACTGTAGTTTCCCTTTTATGCTGTAGACCACTAGGACTTAATCTATATTTTAGTACTATTCATCTAACCTGCTTCTGTGCCCCCTCTTCCTCATCCTTCCCAACTTCCAGTGACTAATATTCTTCTTCCTATTCTTCTGACTTCAGCTTTCTCAGTTTACAC